AACAACTGTAATATATTACAGGCATTGACTGCATCTTTAATGCAATTTTTACTGAAACAACTGTAATATATTACAGGCAATGAGTGCATCTTTAATGTAATTTTTATTGAAACAACTGTAATATATTACAAAAACTTTAATATCACACCGTAGGATTGATTCTGAAATTTCATTAACGAAATTCATTTTGAAGGAATTTGATAATAATAAAGTTAAAACGATAAGTATTTACAAGTGATGAGAGGTAACGGAAGTGTACCCTGATTGCCTCAGTGGTAAGACAAAAAGCTTATAGCCCTAAATTTCAGGGTTCGATCCTTGCGGTATGCACAGCAAAGACAGCCTATCGTGCAGCTTTGCACTTAGCAACAAGGAAACCGACAGGAGGAAGAAACTGACCCGAATTATATCAGTGATATCATTATAATGCTACAAAAACAAATTATTAGAGAAGTGATATATGATAGAATGAATGGCTGTAGATTTAAAACGACTGTTTCTTTAAAGTAACATATTGAAAACTTCAATATAAACAAACGATGCTAACTAAGATGAAAAAAAATATTATAAAAGGTATGTTTGGAAATTTGAAGAAATACAGGAAATAGTTTTATTTAAAAACACTAATTATTTCATTTATAGCATCTTTCCTATGATAGCAAGCAAAGGGTGAAATGTTGAGTCTGTAGATAAATTATGAGAAGATCAAATGCCCAATTATAACAGAATATGCGTTTCTAACAAAGGCATATTGAAAGTTATATTTTACAAAAAAAAAAGGAAACATTTTTGAAATATTACGTTAAGCAGGAAAACGTGTTATTGTTGGCGATGCTCAACTACTTAATCTTTTAAGGACCACTAATTTTTCTGTTTGCTTTCTTTTCTCTTTCTAGAAACTGGAACAAGGGGTTTGGTTACTTGAAGCGGTGTTTCCTTAAAAGGGGGCGTTGTACCAGTCGGAAAACAGTCGTTGGTTTGTGGACAAAGGCTCTCCTGGGCGACCTCGACCTTCGGAACAACAAATTTTCGCTTACCGCTAGCTCGCCTGGTTTTGTTTTTTTTATCGGAAACTTCAGCTTCAGAATTCTGGAGAATGGCTGATGACGCACATAACATAGCAGATGCAGTTATGTTGTTAAAAACACTAAAATCTGCACTTCTACGTGCTCTGTTGTTGCTGTATCTAAAGGGATTTCGCAGCTTTTGTTTCAACCAACCACCACCAACTTTTACAAGCTCAGTGTTTGATGGAGGCAATGCGTTATTGTCGGGGCAAAGCTGGGAATCACTTGGCCACTTTTTTCCTAACGTTGCCTCTTTTCGATGCAGTGAGGAAAACTTTTTTTTAGAGTGTGACTTCATGAACTTCTCGATACTCTCTGCGCAGGTTTGACGGCCACAGAACTTAGCCCATTCATACGGGGATAATTTTCTAGCCGGATCTCGCAAGTAAGGATTTGCACCTGTGAAAAGAAAAGAAAAAAAAATGAATGTACAGAACAAACCAAGAGACAGTACAGTCATAAAACTGGCTTCATTTTTATGATTTCTTGAATGAAACTTAAATCTCGTCAGTTTCTTGAACAATAAACAAAAACCAACAAGAGCTTGGAAATGTACAGTCTTTGATGAAGATGTTAGGTCGTTGTCGTTGTTAGTAGCCTATAGCCTATGCGATCACTTAACTCTAATTAGTGATTTTTATCACTCGTATTTTTAGATGCTAATTAACAAATACAGAGAGGTCGTTATCTTAAAACGGTTATGGAACATCACCAAATAGTTACAGTCCACGTTGCCACGTCCAGTCATTCTCTTTATGACGACCGTGTGCGTTGACTATATATTCATAGCTCTGTAAGACTGTTATGTCAAAATCATATTACTCCCTATGCATTCTTTCCATAGTCCATCCAGTGTGCGTCAGTCTCCTAACTCACAGAAATCCATAGGTGTTGTGTCCAGCAACATAACTTGTGTGTCTTAGTATGGAATAGCATGAATAACCGTTTTATTCTCCAGTTGCTTCAGATATGCGATGGTTGAACGAATGGTATGACTGGAAGCTCTATACTGATAATCCAAACTCCTGTAGTCCTCTCTTCTGTACAAAGTTGGTATTTCTGTGTAGTATACATTGTTCACCCTGTCCTTTGTATCCAGGTTTTCGATCCTTCACTTGCCCCTGGCACAATAATCATGAATCCTTTTGGAAACATTTTGCCACATGCCATGTACCACTTTTGGAATAAATTTTCACCCATTGACCAGTACTGTCGTTTTCCCTCAACTAGGTACTTTTTATGTAGTTTTCGCTCCCCAGTGGCACAACGGTATGTTTGCGGACTTACAACGCTAGAATCCGGGTTTCGATATCCGTGGTAGGCAGAGCACAGACAGCCCATTGTGTAGCTTTGTGCTTAATTACAAACAAACATTTAGTTTATACAGTTTGCCTTCCCTTCCTGAATCTGTTGTGGAAGCAGCTTTTGTACACGTGCCATTTCGCTTTTTCAGACGGAGATTCTTCTTAATAATGTTGGGCAATGCTGCCAGTGTCACAATAACTATTGTCTTTGCAGCTTCCCGTCTGTTACAAGATGCTGCACGTTCTTACCACAGCTGTGGTACGACTTGTTGCAGATATCTTTCTGAATAGTCCTGGTTCTCAAGTTGATATATATTTCTTTGTTTTCCACTACCTTTAAGTACAAAGGATATATTCCTGTCTTGGAAGATCTGAACACATCTTTATGATCTGAGAGTAGTTTTCGATGGCATCACACCACCTACAAAATTCCAAACGATGTCAAAATGTAGTTATGATACATATCATTCTACTGAGCATTTATATTGGCTGTGGTTGTGACTTGCTGATTTGATATTTAAAATCGTTTTAATATTTTAGCATTCCGTAGGTTTTTATTATCCTAAGTTTTGACTGTTAATCTGTGGGTAAACAGTAAGTTTACATAATTATAAAAATAAAATCAGAGTCTTTATTCCTTGCGAAGAATAGAGCACAAACAGCCCAATGTGTAACTCTGCACTTAAACCAAACAAACAAAACATTCACTGCCGTCTTCAGAGCAGTTTTAAGAAGGAGCACGTGTGATGGCAGGAGCCCTACCAAAAAGCCTAGAATCGAATCCGATTTCTTCCATCATATACGGGCTTATTCACAGTATGGTTGCTGAAGGGTTTGATCTAGAAAGAAACGTTATCAAATTGTTTTGGGAACTGGAATTTTCATCTCTAACGTATCCAAAATCCGCAAATATCCATTTGGAAAATGCTTCTTAAACGCATATTACATAATTAACTTTAATACGGGGAGGAGGATTCCGGAAACGAAGATGGAAAATTATGAAGATTACAACCTATCGTGTAGACTATCATGGCTTCATTGTAAAAATGCAGTTTTGGTCAATTATTAGATGCCCAAGCCCCCACAGTGACATCATTGATATGAGAAATTTAGCTTCTCTGGTGTACCTAGTTCAATCAACAGTGATGTTTCTTCTTTGCACTGCTTGTTCTTCATATTTTGCTACAGGATATCTGTAATACAGGTTGCAAAACCAAATTATTTATGTTAGATTTAGCGATATGTCTTATCTTTAATAACTGAATATTTAAAGCATCTTGAACCAGCACAACACACTCTTCGTAGCGTTATTATTGTATTGCAATTAAATAAGTCAAGTTTCTTCCATTATTCGAATTCACATTGCAGCCATCAAAAAAAGAAGATTTACAACATTTATTTCTGGTTTCTATTGTCTGGTTTATTAAGAGAACGTGTCTTTGATTATGTTATTTTTCGAAATGAACCAGAACCATTTTGCCTGCTCCCCCCCAAAAAACAACAACAACAACAACATAGAATAAAAATATATAAAAAGGGGTAAGTAGTGATATCAAATAAATGTAATAAGAAATTAGTAACTAATTAGTTTGTGTTAGTACAAAGCTACATAACAGGCTATCTGCGCTCTGTCCACCACGTGGAATCGAATCCCGGATTTTAGCGTTTTTACCTACCGGGGGACAACTAGACTTACGTAATTCTATAAGTTACTAACCATGACGGCCCGGTATGGCCAGGTGGTTAGGGCGCTCGACTCGCAGTCTGAGGGTCGCGGGTTCGAATCCCCGTCACAACAAACATGCGCGCCCTTTCAGTCGTGGGGGCATTATAATGTAACGGTCAATCCCACTATTCGTTAGTAAAAGAGTAGCCCAAGAGTTGGCGGTGGGTGGTGATGACTAGCTGCCTTCCCTCTAGTCTTTCACTGCTAAATTAGGGACGGCTAGCGCAGATAGCCCTGGTGTGGCTTTGCGCGAAATTTAAACCAAACTAACCATGACAACTACTGACACGAGATCTCCACAATTTTAGCGTAATTACTAGAAGCAAACGATTGAGATATTTGGTATCCAAAGTGTCATGTTTCTAGAAAATCTAAAAAAAAGGCGTTACATATTCCCCTCCTCCTCCCCTTCTCCAAAAATAAAATAAAATAAAAAATAACACACTTTGCATCTTGGAGCCGGTGAGTGCATTATAAGAATGATTGTCAAATTCGATTTGAATAGCCAAAAATAGCCAAGAATAGCCAAAAATTGGAGGTGGGCGTTGTGGACTAACTGCCTTCCCTCTGGGCTATCTCTTCAAAATTAGGGACGGCTAACGCAGATAGCCATCGTGTAGTTTTGCTCTAAATCAAACAAACAAATCAAATCTGAAGCAAAAAAATCAATCGCCAAGTCTGATAAAATTAGCCATTTTCTTCAGTTAAGATGTGTACGAAATAGCAAATCAATGTCGGTCTGTATAAAATAAAACTACAGTGTGTGCCTTTTAGATTATTTAAGTTCTCATGTTATCGAATTGTTTGTATACTGTTCGTTATCGGTGACGTTAACACAGGGGACAATTACATGTTTTTGTTTGTCACAATATTCAGTGTAAAGAACTGCTCCCCCAAAAAAAAACAATTCTGTGAAATCATCCATTTTCTTTATAAAATGCATATGGGACGTCAGCAAAAAATTAGCGGGATTAATTGCAATATTGATTATTTTTCTTTATTCTTTTATTTTTGTTTAATTCTTATACTGTTAAATACATTTTGTTTTGGTAATCGACAAAGTCCTAGACTCGCAACTAATTTGGTGAATAAATAGTTTAAAAATTTTGTTTAAAAAATCGATGGAGTCCATATGGACTCATTCGGTAATTCTAAAGTTATCAAGGTCCTAGATGTATTGCTACCAAAACTGAAAACAAAAAACCATCAACAACAACAAACGATGTGTTTGTGCAGACTTCGTCGACAATTTTAGGGTTAACAAAGTTCTAGATATGTTTTTATTGAAACATTCTTTATGGTTTCAGTTACTTCGGAAATGCTCTTAGAGGCACAGCGGCATTCCTGCGGACTTACAACGCTCGAAACCGGGTTTCGATACCCGTGGCGCGTAGAGCACAGATATCCCATTGTGTAGCTTTATGCTTCACTTCAAAAAAACAATACTTCGGATCATAACATATTGAAGGCTATATTTTGCTATTATTTTGAAGCTCCCCTTGACTTCAAACATACAAAACTTCGTATCATAACGTTTTGAAGGCTATATTTTGCTATTATTTTGAAGCTCCCCTTGACTTCAAACATACAAAACTTCGTATCATAACGTACTGAAGGCTATATTTTGCTATTATTTTGAAGCTCCCCTTGACTTCAAACATACAAAACTTCGGATCATAACGTATTGAAGGTTATATTTTGTCATTATTTTGAAATTCCTCTTGTCATTATAAAAAAATAACTAACCATTTAAGAGGTATATAAATAAAACAATTTTAATTATTTTTGTTAGTTGATAATGGAGTTCATCAATTTTTACTTGTAAAGAATCTTATTCTTAAAACAAGTTGGTTTGAGGAAAATTGTTGTTAACCTATCACTGAAAGTCCCATATAATCTTTGACAATAATTATTCATTCTGAATAACAAAATACCTGCTAGAAAGAAGTTAAAAAACCTAAGAATTTGAAATTCTGAATTGTTTCGAAGTAAGAATATTGAGTTTGATCTTTATATGTCTTTGTTCTACCTAAGAGAAAAATTAATTACCTGCAGTTATGATCGAGGTATCGTATTATTAAGAATTTCTTATTGTGTTTTTGCTTATGTTATTTCTTCAGATAATCCTTGCTAGAAGCCAAGGTAAGAGGATTATCCGAGAGATTTCGTGTTTTATGACAACTCTTTTCTAAGTCTTTTTTTATTTCAATCTCAGTAGAATACTTTTCGTGAAGTTTACCGTTTTAGTTATTCATCAGATAATCCTTGCTAGAAGCCAAGGTAAGAAGATTATCCGAGAGATTTCGTGTTTTATGAAAGCTCTTTTCTAAGTCTTTTTTCATTTCAATACTTTTCGTGAAGTTTAGCGTTTTAGTTATCGAGCACTGTTTATATAAACACATGAAACATTTTATTAACTGATGTTCATTTCTTCAACTTATTATTATTATTACCGTTTTCATTTTTGTTGTCAATAAGAGTATTAAATTTGACGCAAGCTTCAGAAACTCTCATCCTTATAGAGATTAATTCACAGAAGATTTCAGGTCTAATGTCGATAATCAAATATTAAGAAAACATTACTTTCCAGAGTATCTAAATATTAAAAACATTTTACCATGCTTTCCATAACGGGCGTTCAAGTCCAATATTATCGGATTAAACTTGAATAATACATAAAGTTTGTTTGCACCTTTTTGGATATTCTCACAAAGCTACACAAGGACTACTTGCACTAGCCGTCTCTAATTTTTGAACTGGTAAACTAGAGGAAACAACACCTACCGCCAACTCTTGGGCTTTTAATTATAGTATTTTGGCACTTGTGTATAAAGTTAAAATCATAAAT